ATTAAACCAACTAACAAATAAAAAATCACCCAACCCGGGCTGTATCATTAGACATCTCGAAAGACGTTGACAGGGTCTGGCACTCAGGTCTTCTCAACTTCTCGTCTGTGGAACTCCCTCCCCATTTCTTGTTTCCCTGAGAAATATAATCTCCAACTATTCAAATGTAATGTCAATCGACGTCTCCAGATGCCCCGATCTATCCCCTATCCTTCTCTTCATCCTTTCCTCTATCACTCCTCTTTGCTCTCGCTCCAACTCTCTGTAACCCCTTGTGTGCTAGTGGCTTGCCGCCTTGATTAAGGTTGAATGCCTAAAAATAAATTATAGAAATATTAATTATACAGCGGTTGGAAAGTGACTGAAGCCGAGCTACCAGATCAGGACCAATAATATTGCTAAGTATAATTATAATAATGTTATATATAAACAGACAGAACGATACGATAATGCCTTTATTTATATTTTATTTTCGACAGGGAGAAAGATTCGATGAGGAAGCTGAAATCTGCGTCCCTGTTTCGAAATGCAAATGTTACCATCGCGGAAATTATTATGACTCCAACGAAATAAGACGAGAACAGTGCCGAGAATGGTAAATCATTTCAACTATTTTTCCTTTGACAATAAGTTAACCGATGCATAACTTAACTGGTTTGGGCATATAACATCGATTGATTGATTCATTCATTTTCTACGGTTTATCAACCCTTTGCAGGTTATTTAAAGCCAGAAAATATTTTTTAGGCTGTAAGTTTTTTTTTTTTTTTTAAATAATTTAATGAGACAAGTCCTACGATTTAATCTGATCGGAGAAGACGTTGATTCATATCTTTCCCAACGGTATTTGCGCGTTAGGGAATATAACGAACCCAACTGGAATTGGAACTCAACTCTTCAATTAACAATTCCGAGCCATTATGTATGACACCACCCGCACATCCAAACTTACAGCACCTGGTATTCCCAAGCGGTCACCCAATTAGGTATTGACTAGGGTCGACTTTACTTAACTTCGGTGATCGTACGGGAACTGATGTTTTAACGTAATACGGTTGTAAGCCATAGCTTATAATATTTACGGATGGCGCATAGTATTGTGTACAGTATACACGATCTCTAAAAATGTTGTTTTTTTTTTAATTTTAAAGAATTTTAACGTATACAGTACATTAACTCTCTCTTTCTCTCACTCAATGTCTCTCTTTCTCAAACACACACGTGTGCACTCCCAAAATAGAACATATACATACATAGACACACACACACACACACACACACACACACACACACACACATATATATATATATATATATATATATATATATATATATATATATATATATATATATATGTATGCATGTATATCCAACGCCGACAGTACTACTCAGAGTTTCATATTGGAAAATAATTGAAGGTTTTAAGGAAAGTGGAAAACAGCTATTAATATGCCGCTAAAAAATCAAGTAAACAAGCCAATCAAAATATTTAGATTTCGGCATTAAATAACCCACAGAGGTGTTGATATGCCGCTAAAAAAATCAAGTAACCAAACCAATCAAAGTATTTAAATTTCGGCATTAAATAACCCATAGATATGTTGATATGCCGCTAAACAAAATCAAACAACGAAACCAATCAAAATATGTAAATTTCGGCATTAAATAACTCATAGAGGTGTTGATATGCTGCTAAAAAATCAAGTAACCAAACCACTCAAAGTATTTAAATTTCGGCATTAAATAACCCATAGAGGTGTTGATATGCCGCTAAACAAAATCAACCAACCAACATGTTCAATCCGAATTTGTAAGGGTTTTCTGTTTGGTTCTCCGTCCTTTTTTCATATTAATCTCGTTTTAGTAAATAGCTATTTGTTATTATGAGGAGATGGTGCTTAAATGAGCGACCACTCTTCTGCCTTGTACCAGACTTGTGCTAATCATATTAAAAGGTGAAAGGAGTATCTATCAAATCGTGATGGCCTGCACACTCGTATTACAGACCAAATTGCGCGTGTATTATGTTTGAATCACACTAAGTTTCTACTCCTGAGGTCTTGTATTAACCTCACTAAATAACTTATACTCGTCACTAGCGATAAAATTCGTACCTTTTGTTAACTTTTAATGTTATTCTAAACAAATAACACATATTCTAACTCTTTGTTTTTACGTATCTTTTTAGTTTCTGCTTCGAAGGGAAATGGGACTGCAAAGATCTCGATTGTAAAGGTAAGTTTTTTATTTTTTTTTAAATCATTTCACCTCAAGTAATGCAATAAAGTCAATATGGCGCAAGGGGGTTATTGAGTACCAAAGAATATGAAGAAAAAAAAAACACTATGAAGAGAAGAGAACAATAAAAAAAAATAGGGATTAAGAAGACAGAATATAATGATGGATATTTAACGATGACATTTAATTTTTTTAACCGGACTAGAAAGCAAAAAGCCGGAAGAGAGTTAACATAGAGTTTCCGGTTACAACTATTTCAACAGTAAAATGATGAGTCATTGCAGCCAATCTAGTTATTATTTTTATTATTCGGCCGAGGTAGCTCGGACATTTATGAGTCTATCTCACCGACCATCATGTTTCTGCATCAAGGTCGGAAGGTCATTAGGGTGGCATTCTGTGTTATAATCTAGCTGGTCAATGTAGATGGTTGAAGGGCAACCAACCTGTCTCGCGCTCTGACTAGGTGACCAAAGCAGTAGATTTATTTTTTCTATTCGATCGGGCTAGCACGGATATTCATGAGTCTATCACGCCAACCATCACCGTCCTGAATCAGGGTCGGAAGGTCAGTAGGGTGGCACACTGTGTCATAACATAACTAGCCAATGTAGATGGTTGCTGAAAACCAACACATCTTGTTCCATGCCTGCAATCTAGTACTGCTCTGAAATTCGTAAAGTCTAGGACTAGATACCAAAAGAGGAAAGCTCATCATTAAAATTACCATAAAATATTTATAGAAAAGTTACAGGGGTGCTATGTTACATCAAGCTATTTCAACTGGAAATTATTGAGACATTGTCACAAATATACAGGACTGAACACTGTGGAGAGGGATTGTCAATGTCATTCCGTCCAGCCATAGGGGAGATCGAAGGATGATGATGATCTATCTATCTATCTATCTATCTATCTATCTATCTATATATATATATATATATATATATATATATATATATATATATATTATATATATATCTTTATAACTATCTAACAATCCACTGAGCTGACAAGGAACTCGGCTTATCATTATTCCTATGGTATCCTTCAAGGAAGTGTCTTCTCACGAAAATTGAATTTCCCAGACACCATGGCTCGGGACTCAGGGTTAGACTTTAGACACCTGGGGACAGCCATACAGGACCGAACAGCGCGGGAAGGGATTGTCAGTGGAGTTCCGACCAACCATAGGGAGATCGAAGGATGACGATAATGATGATCTATCCATCTATCTATCTATCTATCTATCTATCTATCTATCTATCTATCTATCAGAATTTGTTAATTATATATCAGTCTATCTGATCCTGTTCAATATCTATCTATCTATCTATCTATCTATCTATCTATCTATCTATCTATCTATTTAACTTTATAACTAGCTAACAATCCACTGTGCTGACAGGGAATTCGTCTCATAATTATCCCATTATCCTTCTGGAAGTGTCTTCTCACGAAAACTCTGGGTTAAACTTTAGAGGCCTGGTGACAGCAATACAGGACCGAACAGCGCGGAATGATCTATCTATCCAACGATCAAATAGGGAAATCGTCTCATTCTTACTCCTATGGCATTCTCCTTGAAGTGACTTCTCACGAAAATTGACTTTCCCAGGCACTATAGCTCGTGACTCAAGGTTAAACACTGGGTATCTGGGGAGACCAATGCAGAACAGAAGAGTATTGAAAGGAATTGTCAATATAGTTCCGACCAAGAAAAGGAAGGTCAAAGGCTGATGATGATGATGATGATGATGATGATTATCTATCTATCTATCTATCTATCTATCGAACAATCCAATGAGCTGACAGGAATTGGTCTCCTCATTATTCCTATGGTATCCTTCAGGAAGTGTCTTCTCGCGGAAATTGACTTTCCCAGATATCAGAGCTCGGGACTCAGGGTTAGACTTTGGGGGCCTGGGGACAGCAATGCAGAACCGAACAGCGTGGCTAGAGATTGTCAATGGAGTTCCGACCAACAATTAAGAGGTCGAAGGTTGATGATGATCTATCTATCTATCTATCTATCTATCTATCTATCTATCTGCAGTACGAACAGAGAAATCGTCTCATCCTTACTCCTATAGAATCCTTCTGGAAGTGTCTTCTCACAAAAATTGACTATCCCGGACACCATAGCTCGGGATTCGGGGTTGGACATTTATGGTCTGGAAACTGCAATACCGGACCAAACAGTGTGAAAAGGGGTTGTCAATGGAGTTGCAACCAGCCATAGGCAGGTCGTACGATTATGATGATAATGATGAAGATCTTCAAAAATTTAAATGTAATGTCAATCGACGTCTTCTGAGGCATTGATCTTGAGCTTCGTTCCTCTTTTTATCATTTCCTTAATCCCCCACCTCTTTTCTCTTACGTTCACTCACTATAACCCCTTCCGTGCTAGTGGCACTCCCGCCTTGCTCGTGGAGAAATGCTTATAAAAAAAAGAGAGAGAAAAAAGATCTCAAGGACACATGGAACAGTGGATAAAGGCGTTGGTTAGATCCAGTGACAGGACCCAAAGAGTGTGAGTTCAATATCCGGTTTAGGCAGTGGCGAACTTTCAGAGGGAAAATTAACAGGAGATAACTGATATCCATTAAACATGACACGTGGAACTAGAACAGTCTACCCCAGTGAGCAAAATAAAGGGTTCAGTTCGACATTCCAACCATCTGAAGAAGGCCGGGGCGTAAAACGACCGAAACGTTGTAACAAATATGGCGACAAAGATGAAGACAATAGTCCGAATAATGTACATAATACCTCATCTCAGAAATATAGACAGATACTGAAAGGCAGAAACGTTCTAATAAATATGGCGACAAAGATGAGGACAATAGTCCGAATAATGTAAATAATGTACATAATCCCTCAGAAATATAGACAGACTCAGAAAAGATCTTATTAGGCATAATAAGAGATTAACAATAATAACTAATAATTAAAGAGAACAATTCTAACAATAGACTGTAATAAAAGTTGTATGACAGAAGATTCGTTCTTACTGTAGATTATGTCAACCTCGGAATATGATGTGTCTTTGATTGTACTGTTTTTATTACGTTAGTGGTTGCAATAATAGCTGGACTCGTTATTGTCATTGGTGCTAAATAAAATATTACAATTTTTTTTCTTTTTTACTTTTTTCTACAGTTGAAGAACTTTGCGATGGAGATTTAGTTTGGAGTAACTGTTCCGATTGTATTCGTACGTGCGACAATCTTAATGTGGACTGTGCGTCGATGTGTGGTACCGAGGGTTGCAAGTGTCCCGACGGATTAGTCCAGTTGGACAAAGAGAGTAAACAATGCCTCCAACCCCAGGAGTGTCCGTGTAAACACAATGGCATCAAATATCAAAACGGAGAGAAAATCAGAAAAGATTGTAATTTATGGTGAGTTTTTATAAATACCTGTTGATTATATTTCTATTGGTAAACATTTACTGGGACCAGGTATAAGTAAATATTGGTCGCTTATATTTGTGTCTATATTCATTACTTGGTCCGAAGTTAGGTAAATATTGGTCGTAAGGTTAAATCTGCAATTTATACTCTTATCTTTAAATTTCAAGCGACTTACCTGGCTGGCCGACTCAAGAGTTTAGCGTAAAAACGCTCATCATGGCCAGATGATTGATAAGGCAAACTCATCAACAATCTAGCCTTGATGCAAAATGTTGGTCGGTTTTATACTTTAATCTGAAGATTATACTCTAATCTTTAATGTTCAAGTCATTTATCTGGCTTGATAAGTCACCATCGTCACGATACTTTTCCGTACGTCATTGCACAAGC